ACTGGTCATGAACTGTCATTAGCCCAATGCACAGCTCTGACCTGACCACCTTAAAGCTGCCCCTGTGGGCACAGACTGGGCTTTTCTTTCATTTAGTTTTTGAGACAGGGTCTCTCTATATAGCCTTGACTGTCCTAGAACTCACTATGTAGATGAAGCTGGCCTTGAACTCACAGAGATCCTCCTGAGCTCTAAGAGTATAACTGGTTGAACTCATTCCCTAGGCATTCAAGACCTTTTCGACTCAGGTGACACTTGCTTTCCATTACTTTCTCTCATTCTTTTACTTTCTCACCCTCCTCTCCTAGTTCAGGGAGTACCGGATGGCTCCTAGGCATATCCCTGCATCTGACCTTCCTGTCTCGGCAACAGCTGGCCGGAGTGTTTTGTTTTCTCTGCCCGTGAGTCAGTCCTTCCTGTACCTATAACAGAATACCTGAGAGAATCAACTCAGGAGGAGAGGCTAATTTTGGCCCATGGTGCTCAGGCTTTGGTCTGTTGCTTTGGGCCTGTGGTGATATGGAACATGAAGGTGGGGAGTTGTGGGGAAACAAAAATGCTCATTTCCTGATAGCTGGGAAATGGTAAGAAAAGGGTCTGGGGACACAGTGAAACAGGAAAGATGGACACATCTCCCTGTGGTACCGGGTTCTGTTCAGATCTGTTAACACTGGGCTGGTGGGACAAGTCACTGGGCTGAGGTGCTCACTGCCAAGCCTGACAACATGGGTTCAAGCCCTGGAACCCACATGATGGAAAGAGAGGACCAGCTCTCGCAGGCTGCCCTCTGACCTCCTCACACTCACCATGACATGAAGACCCAGACTCAAGTCCCAGTACTCAGGACAGCTCACAATCACTGTAACTGCAGTTCAGTGGATTCCCTCCAAGGGCACTGCACACAGATGGTCCACAGACATCCATGCAGGAAAAATACTCATGCAAATAAAAATATTAAAAAAATCTCCAGGGGGCTGGAGAGATGGCTCAGAGGTTAAGAGCATTGCCTGCTCTTCCAAAGGTCCTGAGTTCAATTCCCAGCAACCACATGGTGGCTCACAACCATCTGTAATGGGGTCTGGTGCCCTCTTCTGGCCTGCAGGCATACACGCAGATAGAATATTGTATACATAATAAATAAATAAATATTTTTTAAAAATCTCCAAAAAATGTAATTGCTTCTGCAAATAATAATAGTGGAAGAAAATGGAAGAAAATGTCTATATCATATGGGGCTCGGTGTAGTGGCACACATCTGTAATCCCAGAACAGGATGAGGCAGGAGAATTTTTTTTCCTAAAGATTTATTATATATACAGTGTTCTACACTGCATATCAGAAGAACTGAGCCAGCATGTGGTTGCTGGGAACTGAACTCAGGACCTTTGGGAGAACAGGAAGTGCTCTTAACCACTGAGCCACCTCTCTAGCCTCCAAGACAGGAGAATTTTAAGGTCTAGAAAACAAATGAAATGTATTGGGTGGCTAAGGGCTTCCTGACATGTAGGAGGCCCAATTCAAAAAGAAAAAAATCACCATGAAAACAAGGGAAAGGGTTGAAGGCCGATGAAAAGGTGAGCGAAGGGTTGGTTCCTTCCTTCCTTCCCCATCTTGACAGTATTTTCATGGCAGCTGCCTTCAGGGGCTGCCTAGCTCCAGACGCTGTACCTGCTCCTGTCTTCCTTAGAGAGTTCCTGGTATCAGGAACATCAGTTCCTAGAGGTCATTTGGTCCACCCCTTCCCCCTCTAGAGGGAAAGGGAAGTTAAACTTCTAGCCCCAGGGCCAGGTTAGAGCCCAGGCCTTGACACCCCCTCCAGCCAGGAACTGGAGACCTTTCTAGTAGAACTCAGCAGCCCTGTTTTGGTGATTCTTCTCCAGAGAAGCACAGAAGCCGTGCTGTTATAATTGCCTATTCTTTTATCAGTTACCATTGACACCCCCAACTCCCCCTCTCAATTTGAGATAGGGTTTCACGTGTACCAGGTTGTCCTAACATTCTATAGCTGAAGATGCCCTTGAACTTTTCATCTATCCCCCCCCCCCCATTTCCCAAGTGCTAGGATTACAGGCTGGTGCCACACCTAGTCTATTGGGTAGGAACCCAAGGCTTTGATGAGTGCTGGACAAGCCCTCTTCCGATGGAACTGCACTGTCTGCCCTGTCGGTAACCTCTTAGCGTGTCTCATTTCTAAGTTACATTTATCCCAGACATACATGGACAGGATTTTTAAAAAAAAAAAAAAGTCCCATGTGGTGCACTTGGTGCTATTAAATACTGTCTATGTTTCAGGAACTGGCTGGGGAGGCCGAGCATGCTCATGACCGAAACCCCGGCACTGAAACAGGCTTATAAAGCAGGAACCCTTTCTAAGACAAAAACGCAAGACTTGTTGATCAAAAGTGGCTGCTGCTAATCTGACCACCTGAATTGGATCCCAGGGACACACAGAGTGGAAGGCGAGAACCAGCTCCTGCAAGTTGGTTCCTGATCTCCCTGTTTACTTGTGGTACACACACAACATAAATATATGTAAATTAAAAAAAAAAGTGTGTGGTGCCTGGGGAGGGGAGCACTCTGGCCTCCACTTACACATGAACAGGCATACACAAAATCAATGCGGGCGTGGGAGGGGGGATCTACTAGGAGCAGGAATTAGAACAAAGCCCCCATAGAGCATAGGGGAGGTAGATAATATATTTGAATCCTTTACTTCTTTTGTTCTCTTATGGTGCTGGAAATCTAACCCAGAACGCTGTGCCCTTTGAGGCGAGCTGTCTGCCACAGACGAAAGCCCCAGGTCCCAGCAGCTTTTCTGGAGCTGAGAGAAGAACCTGGAGAGGGAGCTTTGCTCTGCAAGCCTTGTGGCAGACATGCTGGGGTGGTACATTTCTCAGGTGATTACGGGTGTGCTGTGGAGACATGCACTTCCATCGTTTTAAACAAGTGCTGCTTGCTTCATCTGTCTGGGACTGCGTAGGGCCGAGTCAACAATTTAATGAGTAGACACACAGCAAGGAAACATGTCAGCATTTGGCTGGGACGACTCGCCAGCTCCCAGCAAGTCTGTTGTGGGTTACTGAGGGGATAGCACCCCCTGCAATTACAAGGTCTCTTTTTTTTTTTTAAATTATTTATTTATTTATTTATTATGTATACAATATTCTGTCTGTGTGTATGCCTGCAGACCAGAAGAGGGCACCAGACCCCATTCCAGATGGTTGTGAGCCACCATGTGGTTGCTGGGAATTGAACTCAGGACCTTTGGAAAAGCAGGCAATGCTCTTAACCTCTGAGCCATCTCTCCAGCCCCCTACAAGGTCTCTTAACAGCAAACAGAATGTCCACATCCCCTGCCGCTCAAGTTTTGCTTTTGCCTGTGTTTTGTGTTCTACCCTTGGGTCCCATCTCCCCACAGTTCTCTAGGAGGCAGTATCCGTGTCACTGAGCCCATGACTCCCCTAGTGCCAAGTTGTGGTTTCCACACTAGGCAGAACCCTGCTCTGTTCCACAGATGTCTCAGCCAGTGAGAGTCCTGAAGGCATTATGTGAACATAATGATAGGCTAGGTCTCAAAAATGTGATTTTGATCGATGACGGCACAATCAGAAATGGGAAGGAGCTGCCTCAACCTGACCAAGAGGGGCTGTGTACGGGCCTGGAGAATGTGGTGCCCAGGCAGCTGAGGTGTCAGGTTAACCGGATACCTACTTTAACTGCTGTGGTCATCTTCAGTGGAGTGCAGGTGACTCAGTGGGTCAGGAAGGGCCATGGTGGGTGCTCAGGACTGCCTGACTCTTCATCTTGCTTTGTTTTTCTTCCTTGTGGATTTTTGTGGTGTGTTTATGCAAGACAAGCTATCTGTGGCTTTTGACTAGGGGACGCAGAGTAGATCCAGATTCTGCTCAGTCTTTGCCTTGCTTGGGGCCTGTGCATCACCAAGTCTCAGCTTTGCTTCTGGGAAGGAGATTGTAAGCATCTGCCTGGTGTGTCCTGGCAGCCTTCATGCCACCCACTGTGATGCTCCACACACATTATGCCCTAGTAGCAGTTAAGATGACAGCAAACATGGGACTAAACTTAGGCCAACATGTGGTGTGTACACCTCTCACCTCCGAGCCATAGAAGACTTCATTCAGTTCAGGGCCTTGTCAGTTTGGCAGCAGAAACTCTCCACCAAGACACCAAATCCTTGCAGAGGTGCTTGAGCCTCAGAGTTCTGAAGGACTGTGGTTCACTCAGATAAACTGTATTTTTCTTTTTTTAGAGGGGGGTTGCTACCGGTTTCTAGCGTTTCATGTTTATGAGCCATCATGTAGGTGCTGGGACTCAAACCCAGGCCCTCTTATAGAGCAGCAAGTGCTCTAATCCCTGAGCCACCCTCCCCCCACCCCACTTTTTTTTGGAGGCAGGATCTCACTATGTAGCCAGGCAAGAAAACCACTGGCTTCTGCATGCTCGCTCTCTCTCTCTCTCTCTCTCTCTCTCTCTCTCTCTCTCTCTCTCGTTTGTTTTTTTTAAAAACAGGGCTTCTCTATAGCTTTGAAGCCTGTCCTGGAACTCACAGAGATGGCCTGCCTCTGCCTCCCAGAGTGCTGGGATTAAAGGTGTGTGCCACCAAGAGCTTTATAAAATGATGTCACTTCACCACGCAGTTATGGTTCACACTTTTAATCCCAGGCACAGGCAGCTGAATATATCTCAGTCAGTTGGTTCAAGCCCAGCCTGGTCTACAGAGTAAGTTCCAGGACAAACAAGACTACACAAAGAAACCCTGTCTCAGGGGTAGAGAGAAAAGATAATGTTATCTCGGTAAAGGGTCAGAGAGTGGCTTAGTGGTTTGGCACAACCCAGGTTTGATTGCCAACACCCACATGAGTGGCTCATAACCATCAGCAGGTCTAGTTCCAGGGGATCCCATGCCCTCCTCTGATCCCTCAGGCACCAGTCATGAAGATGGTGTGTATTTGGGTGCAGGACAAACATTCATACACATAAAATAAATTTAAATTCTTTTTTAATTATCTTAATTAGTAAAGATATAGACTTATTCTTAATTTTTGAAATAAAATATTTTAAACTACCGATAACTGCTTACAAGCAAATGCTAATGCCGATAACTAACATGAAAAAAATGAGATTTTTAAATATACAAGAAATTTCATTATATACGAATAAGCTGAGACATGTGAAGTTTGCCAGGCATTTTATCCAGCTACTTACAATGCATACAAACCTGAGCATACCCCACTGTGATTCTTAAGTTTTCTGCATTTAGTTTAAAAGATGTTTCTTTCCAAGAAACTGAACTTTCCTTTCAAATGCACTTGAGCGAATAGGAGAATTGGGCTCATAAAAGGGGTTCATGGCAAACCTGATGTACAAGTCATAGACATCAGTGAAGAAGTTCTTGATGCCGTCTTCCTGCCGCATGTCGTGAAGCATGATGAATCGCATGTGCCCAGCAGTGACAAACGCCGACACGAACCACTCATTGAATTTGTCCACGGTTTTCAAGTACATGTTGTTGGAGAGCCACATGTTTTCGTCCACCAGGTCCAGAGCGGCGTGCGCTATGAACTGGTTCAGATGGCGATGCTCATCTTTGGGTTCTGCTTTCCCAGCTGGCAAAAATTCCATTTCAAAAACTGGATTATCATGGTGGCCAACAATTACAAAGTAGAAGCTTCCAGACATTGTCTTCTGTATCTGTACGGCTCCTGTAGTAAGATGCTAGCAACAGAAACACCCAGTCAATGCATGAAAATTTTTATTTTGTTTTATTTATTTTTGAGACCAGGTTAGCCTTGAAACCTCAATCCTTCTACCTTCGTCTGCTAAGCGCTGGTATTATAGGCATTAGCTACCACCCCTAGCTCTATTTATTAAAATTTCAGCCCCCCAACCAGTTTAATCTGATACCTCTACTATACACTAAATTTGCATATGTATTTCCTTTATCTTTTGGTTTTTGTAATTTTTTTAAGAAGTATACAATTCAGATCTAGTAGTTTTTTTTTTTTTTAAAAAAAAAGGTTTATTTAGGGGCTGGAGAGATGGCTCAGAGGTGAAGAGCGCTGGCTGCTCTTCCAGAGGTCCTGAGTTCAATTCCAGCAACTACATGGTGGCTCACAACCATCTGTAATGGGGTCTGGTGCCCTCTTCTGGCAGAACACTGTATACTTAATAAATAAATAAATAAGATCTTTAAAAAAAAAAGATTTATTTATTTATTATGTGTACAGTATTCTCAGTATTCTGTCTGCATGTATGCCTGCAGGCCAGAAGAGGGCACCAGATCTCATTTTTGATGGTTGTGAGCCACCATTTGGTTGCTGGGAATTGAACTCAGGACCTTTGGAAGAGCAGGCAGTGCTTTTAACTGCTGAGCCATCTCTCCAGTCCAGATTTTGTAATTTTTATGAAACAAACAGAAGGCTGCTTATTATCTAGATTATTTCAATAGGTTCAGAAAATAAATTTGACAAAACCCGCCAGGTGGTGGTGGCACATATTTAATGTCAGCACACAGGAGGCAGGGGCAGACAGACTTCTGTGAGTTTGAGGCTAGCCTGGTCTACAGAGCAAGTTCTAGGACAGGTTCCAAAGCTTCAGAGAAACCCTGTCTCAAAAAAAAACAAAAAAACAAAAAAAAAACCCAAAAGCAAAAGCAAACAAAACAAAACAAAAAATTGACAAAAACCTACCATCTTCCCATTGATTAAAAACAAAAGACTAGCTGGGCAGCAGTGGCACACACTTTTAATCCCAGCACCTGGGAGGCAGAGGTAGGTGGAGTTCCAGGACAGCCACAGCCACACAGAGAGACCCTGTCTCAAAAGAAACAAAACAAAAAACCCAAGAAAAATACAAAGAGAAGGGAATCTCCTTAACCTGAAAAAAGTATATCACCATCAATAAATCCAAAAGTAATTTTACAAATAATGGTCACAGTGCAGGGCAGCGGTAGCTCACACCTGAAATCCCAGGTGGGGAGATGGGGCAGGAGGACTGTCAGGAATTTGAGGTCACTTGGGCTACACCGCCAGTTGCAGCCAGCCTGGGCTATAGTCTGAGGTGCTGACTGCAAAAACAAAACCCAAATAGTTCACACAAACAAACAAAACTACAAGCTAAAAGCCTTCTTCCTAAAATCAGAAACAAGGCAGAATCAGGCCTTGGCCCTTTGGCTAAGATCAAGTTTAGGAACTCGGGGAGAGTGCCCCCCTTTGCCACTTCTATATAGCCCTCTCCTGGTGACACTGTAGACGTGCGTTCAGCAAGGTCACAGGACACAAGATCAAGCAGCTGAATTTCTCTAGACCGACAACTACTCCAAGAGTGCTGAAGGAACAGGACAAGGGAAACACCTGCGGGGCTGGACAGAAGGCCCAGTGGTTAAGAACACTGGTTGCTCTCGCAGAGTCCCAAGGTTTCCACTGAAAATCACTGAAGAATTAAGGACTCTCACCCATTCTTGAAAAGGTACAGGCAAAGAATGGCTGCTGGTTTGGGGAGTCACTTTCTTCAGTGGTGAAGCCACTGTTGTCTGTTCCAGTAAATAACCTGCAATCCATGCTCATACAAACAGTCTGTGGGTCTCGTGTGTGTGTGTGTGTGTATGTGAGAGAGAGAGAGAGAGAAAGAGAGAAAGAGAGAGAGAGAGAGAAAGAGGGGTCAAAGAGGTCAGTGTGTAAAGGTACTTGCCATATATGCATGATGACCCAAGTTCAATTCTAGAACCCACATAAAGGTAGAAGCCAAGTTTGGCTTGGTGGCAAAACCTGAACTTCAGGAGGCAGAGGCAAAATGATCTCTTACAGGACAGCTAAAGTTACATAGAGGAACCTTGACCTTCTCAAAAAAAAAAAAAAAAAAAAAGAGAGAGAGAGAGAAAAGACTGAAACAGGAAACTGACCCCACAAAGTTGTCCTCTGACCTTCACACATGTATAGGCACACTAATGTACTGAATACAAACACAATTAATAGTAATTTAAAGAATGTAAAGATATGAAAATAAAAGGGAACTTATTGGGACAGGGTTCAATGGGAGTGGGATGAGAGGGGAGCGAGGTGTGTTGAAAGCACATTGTACACATGTATGAAATTGTCAAAGGATAATAATTCTAAATAATGGAATGTCATCCATGTTTATGGATTAAAGATGGCAATGCCTATTGGCCTATAAACTCACTGTTGTTTCTTTCAAATATCATCAAACTTATTTTTGAACTTTCTACACAATTGTAGAAGTTATGACAGAGTGGTACTGGCCTAAATTAAGACATATTGCCAGGCGGTGGTGGCTGGCGCACGCCTTTAATTCCAGCACTGGGAGGCAGAAGCAGGCAAATCTCTGTGAGTTAGAGGCCAGTTTGGTCTACAAGAGCGAGTTCCAGGTCAGGGCTGTCTCGAAAAACAAAAACAACAACAACAAAAAATGGACAGGAATCCACTAAATAACCCCGCACATTTTGCCATTTGATTTACTATTTACTTTTTTTTTTTTTTTTTTTTTTTGGAGACAAGGTGTTACGTAGTCCAGACTGGCCTCAAAGTATCAGAAGGTGGCTTTGAATTCCTTGCCCTTCTGCCTCTCTCTTTCCAGTGCTGGGATTATCCACTATGCCCATCTTAATTTTTTTTTTTAACTTTTTATTTCCGGACCAAAGCTTCGGTGCTAGGCAAGAGCTCTGCCACTGAGCCACACCCCATCCTAGGTAAAAGCAAGTCCGAGCCCATGAGAACGATTAAGATGTCTTCCCGGCCTCCCAGACAACCTCCACTCTCCCACTCTCCAGCTCCGGACTTTGTTTTGCGACAGGGTCTTGCTGTCCCACAGACTGGCTTCGAACTTGCGGCGCTGGGATGACGGGCGAGCGCCACTCTGTCCAGAGTGGGGTTCTGACAACTATAAATACCTCACATCAGTCGCCTTCCCTCTAGTTCAGGAGTAGTCGTGGTTCCGGCGTCGACGGGGACAAACGACCATTACCTAAACTTCACGTCCACCTCCCGGGAGAACCCCGCCCACCGCAGGAGGAGGCGGTGGCCGAGCATGCGCACACGGTCGCGCCTGTCAGCGAGCGCCTGAACGGCCCCGCCCTGGCGGCCATCTTGACTCAGAAAGTGACAGGAGACTGAACATGCTCACTAGAGTGCCAAGGACAAGGTTCCCGGGCGCCATCTTCGATCTGGGTGTCTCGGTCGATCGCGCATGCGTTCATGTGTCACCGGTCAAAGCCGCGCGCGAAATTTGGCCGCCATCTTGGGTTAGGGCATGGTAGGGTCCGCACCCTACCTTGTCCGGTTCTTACAGCACTCCTTTTTATTACACGAATACATGTTGCTGTTGTCACCGATGTTCGCTTGGAGGCGTAGAGGACCGGCGCGTGCCGTGAGCGGTGGGACAGACATGCCAAGCGAGGCACAGCCTGAGACTACATCGGTGCCAGAAACCAAAATGGAGGTCGCAGCGCCAGGCTCCTGTGTGCAGTCTGTGGCCTTATTCGTGGGCAGAAATGCGTAATAGGTGGAAGTTGGTTTAGGGAGTAATGCCGCCGGAGTTTGTGTTTCGTGTAGATTTTCACCTCATACTCGGCTTTTTCAAGTGTCTGCCTAATTTTTCACAGGTTTTCCTTATGTACATATTCCAGAAGAGACTTTCCTGGTGACGGCACTCTGTAACCCCAGAAGCTGCTTTTGCTAAAAAGCATTGACTTCTCTTTTGGGGACAAAAGGGTGATTAAAGATGAAGCTTGGCATTTCTGCTTTCATTTTGTGTGTACTGAAAACAATAATCTAGGTGTCCCATAAAGGAACAAATGAACAAAGCAAGTAGCTCTGCACGGGGCTTTTCGGTTTGTAAAAAGTGGTGTTTGGATCCAAACCGGGGCAGGAGGTTCACTTGGTTAACAGGTGAAGACTATGTCTTTTCCTCATTGGCTGGGGTCCCACCCTCGTGATTGGTTATTTTTTAAAACTAACCAAAGAAAAGAGATAAAGCATTGTGCTCCAGGCAGCAGAGAATTCTGGAAGGAGAAAGGATGTGTTTAGTTTGTGTAAAAAATAAATAAATAAATAAAAATTACCAGGTGGGGTAGGTTTATGGAGTATTGACCTTTGCTAGAAAAGCATCAGCACCTCACAGTCTCCTTCGCTTTGGGTTAGAGACTTGCCCACTTCTGTCTAGGCAGAGTGCTTATCTACCTGTTTCATGCCCTTCAAACTTGAAGGCACAAAAAAGGCATTGTCTTAAACCTCTGGTTACCTTGGTCAGGATGGAAGTGAGGGGGAAAATAATTGACAGTTCCCTCTACAAGGCTTTAAGTATCATTTGTGGGGTTTTTATGTTCTTTTTTTTTTTTTTTTGGCTTGTTTTTGTTTGTTTTGTGTTTGTAGACAAGGTTTCTCTGCACAGCCCTGGCTAGCCTGTAACTGCCTCTGTAGACCAGGCTGGTTTCAAACTCAGAGATCCACCTGCCTCTGTCCCCAGAGTGCTGTGTGTGCCACTACCACCTGGCTTCAGGTATCATCTGACCCATATAAATATGAACATGTCAGCTCTGAGCAAGCTGCTCACAGATTTACATTAGTGAGCCCTTGACAGCTGTTTCCACCTCCGGTTCAGAAAACGTTATTATCTCTGTGCGAGCATAGTTAGGTGTCTTATGTTCATTTGTGGGAGCACTTTCGGGTGTGGGTACTTGTGTGGAGGCCGGAAGCTGAAGTCGCATCAGCCTTTGTTGCTGCTCCCCTGGGTTTCTGAGGCAGTCTCCCTATGTATCCCTGACCAGCTTTAAATTTACTATCATGCTTAGCTTGAGAATCTTATGGAAAGTTTTACAATAAGTATACTCGAGATATTCAGAAATAAGTGGATTATATGCATTAAAAACACATGATTGAGCTGGTGTCACATGCCTTTGATGCCAGAACTTGGGAGGAAGAAGCAGGTGGATCTCTGTAAGTTCAAGACCAGCCTTGTTAGTGGTGGTTGGGATCGGGTATTTCCAGGTACTTTACCTCTTGTCCAAATAATGGAAAAATAAGTCTTCATACAATTCACAAAAATTGTAAGGTAGCTTTATTCAAAGCAAAGCAGTAAACAGTTTAGAAAGGAATACCCTGTCAAGATGGATAGTGGCCACAGACTGAGGTACTGCAGGGCCAGGTTACTGTTAGGGGCTTTCTTTAATGGAGTTTAAGAAGAGTAGTTAGGGGTTCTGGAGAGATGGCTCAGAGGTTAAAAGCATTGCCTGCTCTTCCGAAGGTCCTGAGTTCAATTCCCAACAACCACATGGTGGCTCACAACAATCTGTAATGGGGTCTGGTGCCCTCTTCTGGCCTGCAGGCATACGCACAGACAGAATATTGTAAATATAATAAATAAATAAATACTAAAAAAAGAGTAGTTAATAGGTATTAACTGGCATAGTTTGGGTGGCTCTGTTTGATAATTAGGTCAATAGTCATGTCCCTCATTAAGATGCATGACTTTATCATGTGTGTGCTCAGTAATGCATAGGCCAAAAAGGTAAACTGGGCTTCTCCCTGCAAGTTTAAGTTTACCGTATTGTACATGCTCCCCAGACCATTTCAGGACAGATCAGTCATTAGATTTTAACTTCTGCCCCACATTTATTTGTGTGTGGAGGTCAGAGACAACCTTTTGGAGTCATTTGTCCCAGGGATCGACCTTAGGTCTTCAGCGTGGCAGTAAGCATGTTTCCTCCCAAGCTATCTCTCCAGCCCTTGTCTGCTCTTTATACACATTGCTTCCAGTATATTGGGGATATATTTGAAAAGAAACTAAATCTGATTATTGTTAGGGTAGGAGAAACTTAAGGTACACATGTTGCCCAGTGCAGTTGGGGTATGAGGTTGCTAGGTCCATTTTTTTTAATATTTATTTATTATGTATACAATATTCTGTGTGTACGTCTGCAGGCCAGAAGAGGGCACCAGACCTCATTACAGATGGTTGTGAGCCACCATGTGGTTGCTGGGATTTGAACTCAGGACCATTGGAAGAGCAGGCAATGCTCTTAACCACTGAGCCATCTCTCCAGCCCCTGCTAGGTCCATTTTTGAGAGATTTGAGTAAAGAAAATAGGCTGCCAAAGTGCATCACAAGAAGGAGTGTGCACCACCCAGTTCAAGGAGATACCATGTTACTTAACTATTTCTTTGCTTGCCTGCCTCAAAACAAAAAAATTCTCCAAATAGAAAAACTATTTGAAAAGAAGATAGCTAGGGACTTTGTGGGGTTGGGGAACAAGGATCTTATGGTTAAAGTCGGCAGCTAAAGAGCAAGCAGGATAATCATTGAAACAATGAGCCCAGAGGAATAAAACTGTACAGCATTAAGGATAAAAACACAATAAAGTGGGCAGTGGTGGTGCACGCCTTTAATCCCAGTACTCGGGAGACAGAGGCAGGTGGTTTCTGTGAGTTAAAGGCCAGCCCGGTCTACAGAGCAAGTTCCTGGCTGAGGCCACCAATCCAGACTATAAATAACCAGCCACTGTTTATAAGCTCTTTTAATTAACTTTATTGAATATCAGATTCATAAGTCAGCACAGATCAGACGACTGTTCGCATGGGTTACAAATGACTTTTTTTAAAAAACAGGAATAAACCAGTGAAAATTACAGTCTGTGAAAAGGAAGACAAATCTTGTTTAACATTTCAGAGAAGTGAGACGAACACAACACATTGAAGATCAATACTTATTTTTGATTCGCGAACAACGACTTAATGTTACAATATTATACACTACTTTACAAAATTAAATTTTCTATGTAAGGATTGTGTTTCTAATAGTTAAAACTGTGAAATCACATTTGGTGGTCCCCTAGATAACAGCTGTTATGCATCTTTGATTAGAGTTTAAACCTTTTATTCTAATTATTGCAAACAGTCTATTAGACTCAATACATTACATTAAATTAAAACATATGCAAGCTAAAACAAATGGTACTGCTTGAGTGAATATTAGTATGTCAGACTTAGAGAAACATTATTTTAAAAATTCTAGAAATTAGAAAAATAGAGTACTTTTTATGGTAGAACTGCCATGCTCAGATTTATATATCAAGATTGCCCTTGTCTGTTACTTTAGTAGTTGTAGATCTGTAGAAAATTCAAGGATCTTTCATAATTTACAACTACAATAAAAAAAATATGGCATAGTGTAAATATCAGTTGTTTTACATCAGGAAGTAATACAGGATGGTAGTACGGGTAGTGTCTTACTGCCAAAACAAAACAACTAACTAAAAAACACATTCAATATCGCAAAAAATAACTATATCAATATCCCACAAAGGTTCATTCTCTTATCTGGAGAATGAAAATCATGAACCCTAAATAGTTATGTTTTTATGACTGTTATAAAATTACTCTGGATTGCACGTTACATAATATCTAAAATAAAATTCAAATTTGTGAAACATAATAACCAAGCAGAAGCTAGCTAGTAAGGGTCAGACGCACTCACTCAAGGACTGAGGCACAAGGGAGGTTTCCCTAGGAGCACAACGTTTCCTCTGGGAGATTCCTTACTACGAAGAAAGAACCTACAAATGCCAACATTTAAAACCACATTAAGAAGAAAACTAGTTCATTTAGAGGAACATCAGTACATAATGACTGTTTCTTAAAAAGGGGAAATTATATATATTTAATGGGTTATAGTTTGAAAAGTGCTTCCCAATAAATGAAGCAGCTTTCAAGAGAAATTCAGTTCAGTGTGCTATGTGTACACTGAAACAAAATAATTTTTCTTTTCCTTTTTTTTTTGGAGACAAAATTTGGCTGGTCTGGCACTTGCTATATAGCCCAGGCTAGCAATTCTCTGGCCTTGGCCACGCAAGGACCAGTTAGGGATAATGTACCATCATGTCTGGGTTGGGATAAACAAGACCCTTAACACTGTATTCTCATGAAGCACAGTTATTCTGAAGCAGCTGGCAGACAGTAGTTGTGTACTCCAGGGACCTGCTGCTTCCTTTCCCAGGAGTTAAGTTAGCCCATGGGGGTGTCAACCTGA